AAGACTTTCAAATTAAAGTTTTATTTTTCTTGTCTTTTGTTTCTCTTCTACCTATCTTTTATTTCTTCTTTCAAGTAGACATTTGCGATGTTTGTTCCTACTAGCAAAAAAAAAAAAAAAAAACAGCAATATCTCTAGAACACAAGGCAAGAAGGAAGGAACCTGTTATCCATCTTTTTTTTTTTTTTAATATTTTTTAGTTGTAGATGTACACCTTTATTTATTTATTTTTCTGTGGTGCTAAGGATCAAACCCAGTACCTCATACCATTAAGCCACAATCGCAGCCCAAATTGTTCATCTTTGATAAAAAGTAAATATACAAACTAAATAAATCACTGTCTTGTTTCTGGATTCAAGGGGAACATACTTTGTTAATTCTCGAGTAAGGCACCTTTTGGGAAAAATTATTTAACAGATTGCTAGAAAGACCATGTCCTAGGGGAAATTTCTTTCAGCCTTCTTTAAAAGTTGAGGACTTAATATTAATTTCAGTAAAAGTGATTGGTGAAGAAATAGATGAAATGATCTGACAGTTTTATGATGATCTGATTTAATAAATCGAATTGTTAGAGAATCTAGAAAAGTGGTTAGTTGAAAGCATATGTATTAAGTCTTTGAAGTGTATTGCTCAGTGTTTTTTTGAGTAATACTTTAAATGTTTACAGTATGGATTTTTAAAAGGAGGATCTTGGAAGAAAGCGCTCTCTTCAGATTGTTGGATGTCCGTACCCCTCCATCGTCCTGTCCTGGGGATTGAACCCAGGATTTCAAGTATGATAGTCAAGTGCTCTGCCACTACTGAAAATGTTTTTGGAATCTAAATTGTATTTCGCCACCCCACCCCTCAAAAAGCAAGCAAAGTCTTGGTCTGCTAGAATGTAGGCTAGCGCTTGATTGAAATTCAGGGCCTTCCTTTGTTACACAAAATGAAAGAAATAATGTGTTGTCAGCTATAAAACAATCTGATGCCTCTTCCTTACCTAGTAATATAAATATAGAGTGTGCCTCCAAATGGTTGAGTGAATGATATTTGACTATGAGTCATTTAAATGAAGAAGGCCTACCAAAGAAAAGGATTTTTTTTTTTTAAATTAGCTATTGATCGGGCTGGGGATGTGGCTCAAGTGGTAGCGCGCTCGCCTGGCATGCGTGCGGCCCAGGTTTGATCCTCAGCACCACATACAAACAAAGATGTTGTGTCCGCCGAGAACTAAAAAATAAATATTAAAAAATTCTCTCTCTCTCTCTCTCCCACTCTCTCTTAAAAAAAAATAAAATAAAATTAGCTTTTGATGGATCTTTATTTATTTGTATGTGGTGCTGAGAATCGTACCTAGTGCCTCACGCATGTTAGGCAAGTGTGCTACCACTGAGCCACAACCCCAACCCCAAAGAAAAGGATTTTTAATAATGGCTAATTCTTGTTGAGAAAATTGTGTGTGCTCCAAAAGCTTTGAGTGCTATGTTTTTATGAAACACATATATATTGTTTTTGTTCAGGGGGTTATCAACTTTTCATAAGGTAACATAGTTAGAATCTAAATATGGGTTTTCCTGTTCAGACTTTTGCATTACTGAGTCTTGTATTTATTTGTCTATTTTAATGTATTCTTAACAAATAACTAGTCTTTGCCAGATATTGGATATATGAAAAAAATAGAATATCAACAAAAAAGACAGGGTTTGTGTTCTTAGATCTTATTTTCTAGAGAGAGAGGGCAGGAATGGATCTCAGATGGGTCCTGTAAGAAATTCTGGAAAATTGATCTTTACTTTACCTGGCTTGTAAAGCCATAGAAAGCTTTGTTATTTTGCACCCAATGAATATACTGGCATATAGGTACATTTTCTAAAATAGTTAGGAATATAGTATATTAAAGTATAGTAAAAAGTATATACAATTATATTAAAATTCCTTGCTTGATATAGTTTAATGGGTAGTGTAAGATCTTAAGTATCTTAGCTTAAGAGTTCTTAGAAAGTATCTGACAGAGTATAATCTTAGGCAATATCATTAGCAGGTGGATCCCTTTACAGGAAATTAAAGGGCGAAGGATGGTTTTACTTGTACTAGAATTGATTCTAATTTGCACAGTAAATGCTATGTATTTACCCCTTGGTAAACTTAAATTGCTTTTAAGAAACTTAACACCCTTTGTTGATTGGTATCAGTTACCATCACCCTTGTGGCAGTCCTTTTAAAAAAAATCAAGTATTAATCATACAAGTAAATGTCAGATTACTGCAGTGAATGCTTCAAAAGTAAGTGGCAGGACAGTGAGCCCATAAAGAGGAGAGTCTTGTCTTAATCTTATTGGAGAGGTAGGAGACCCTTTCCTCATTAGATGATGCTTTAAGAAATGTTCCAGTGCAAGGCCATCAGTAGAGCCAAAGCAATAACAGAGGTCCTTGGTCATTGGTTCTTTGCATTCATGCTGTAGAGATTTTCAGACAGGTTGCATATAGTTGCAGGCAGGAGTTTATTACTAGGGAAAGGAAAAGGAAAGAAGGAACACTCTTAAGGGAAAAAGGGAGAGAGTGGGTCCTCACAGAAAAGAGGCCCCTCCTGCCCTCCTGTTTTACTGGGGGGTTCCAGGGAAGTTTTCAGAGTCCCACCAAGGTCCACCCCTTGACTTTTGAGTGGCAGCAGGATTGAATAAGACTTTGAAGTCCCACTGCACATGATCTTACCCCTATCCCATGGAGGGGAGATTTACTGTTATAATGACATACTAAATATCTAAGGAAACTCTTGAGTCACCTTGGCCATGCTTACTGATTTTGATTGGAACTTGGTTCTACAGATTTTATGATTGGGGGCTTTGCTTCTAATTATTCTGTCTGCCTGAGTCCTGTAATCTGGTCTGTGTAAAGGTTACACAGGTACCCCTTTCAGAATAATGTGTGTTCTCATCATCAGGGAGGAGTCTTTCTTCTGCAGATAGAAGGTTGTTTGTTGAGAAATGTAGCATATCCTGTTGGCTTAAGCTACGCAGCGCCAGAGTTTTCTCAAGTAAATTGTAAAAGAAAGCATGTGAGGGTCAGTACATAAGTTCATTCTATAGAATTTTCCCCTTAACCTTATGTTTTCATCACTTGTCTGTCTGCTACCTGTCTGAAAGATAACTACTGGGGAAGCCATGGTGACATGTGTCTAAATAGAGGGAACAAGCCTCTTGATTTGGGGCCCAGGGAACTCAACCTTGGAGGTGGGGGAGATCATTTGTTCCAGGAGCAGGGAAGGGCCAATGAGCATGGTATAAACTGAGACTGGAAATAGACACAGGAGTTGGACCAGGCAGGGCCTTATATATGCAGACTTTTTTTTTTTTTTTAAATCATGTATCTGAAGAGAAGTGATTGACCATATTAAGGGGTGTTGGGAGTAGTTTTGAGTGTCAGTCATCTGATCAAGATAGTTTTTAAAAGAGTTGTAAATGTGGTGACAACACATCCATTTAGGTGTTGTCCAGGTGGGTGATGAAGGTAACTTGGACTGTTGTCATGGAGGTGGTGACCAGGGGAGGAAGAGGAGACAAATTATGGGGAAAACAACAGATTCCACATATAAAAGAGGTGAAAGTGAATAGAATTTGAAGTCTGTTCAAGTGTGTTTTGCAGTGTTTTAATGGTAAAGCCGTTTCCAGGCTTCTAAATTATTATGCCAGTTATAGTTAAAAATGTTAGCATCACTGTGTACAATGAAAAAAAAAATTTTTTTTGAGTGGAAATTAAACTCAGGGATGCTTTACCACTGAGCTACATTCCAGTCCTTTTTTAAATTTTGAGACAGGATCTCGCCTGCCTCAGCGTCAAGAGGCACTGGGGATTCTAGGCATGCTCCACTCCGCCAGATTCAAAGTTTTAATCAGTATTCATTTATTCATAGTTACTTGTTGCCTAATTTCTCTAACATGTCTTTAACTGCTTTCTTTCTAAGCACTATTTTTACCCTTTGCTTATGTAAGAAATTTCAAAATAAAGATTTTTTGGAGGGAGGATTCTTGTTAAACTTTAGATCCCCTGATTAAAAAGAAATGGTATACTATAAAATCAACCAATTTGAAGTGTACAATTCAATGGTTTTGCTATATTCACAAAGTTGTGCAAACATTACCACAATTAACTTTAAAATATTTCTTCACTTCCAAAGAAACTCTTATCATTAATTCATCATTTTTCTTGTTTAACTTAGCAAAATGTTTCTAAGCTTCATACATTTTGTAGCATTTATCAGTGTTCCCTTTTTTAAAAAACTATATTTTTAGTTGTCAAAGGACCTTTATTTTATTTATTTATATGTGGTGCTGAGAACTGAACCCAGTACCTCATATACATGCTAGACAAGTGCTCTTCCACTGAGCTACAACACAAGCCCTCAATATTCCTTTTAGTAGATGGACACAGTACCTTTATTTTATTTTTATGTGGTGCTGGGGATCAAACCCAGTGCCTCACATGTGATAGGCAAGCACTCTACCAACTGAGCTACAGCCCCAGTCCCTCAGTATTCCTTTTTATCACTAAAATTTCATTGAACAGATAAAACATTTTGTTTATTCATCAGATGATGAACATTTGGGCTCTTTCTGCTTTTCAAATGGAATTTTAATGAATTTTATATATATGATTATCCATGTAGAAGTTTTTATGTGAACATTTGTTTTTAGCTTTTTGGGGTAGATACCTTGGAGTGAAATTGGATCATTCGATAACTTTAAAATTTTTTTAAGAAACTACCAAACTGTTTCATAAAAACTATTGGAGAATTTTACATTTCCACCAGCAATGTGTAATATCTAAGCAACTACCGTGGTAGTTCATTGTGATTTTGATGTGTTTCTGTGCTGACTAAAGATTTTGAGCCTGATTTTTAAAAGAAAAGCCGCACTTTGATTTCATTGAGAATATAAAAATGGAAATGTTGGTAATTTCATATTATTGCTTGGAAACAATTAGTTTTGCAGTATTTAAAATTCTTTTTTTTTTTTCCATCAGTTGTATTCCTTGAATGACTACAAACCACCCATTTCTAAAGCAAAAATGACCCAGATTACAAAGGCGGCCATCAAAGCTATTAAGGTGAGTAATAAATTTTACTCTTATGTTTTCAAAAAAGAAAATGCCACCCTAGTATTTTGAAGGAGAAATAATTTTTATATATTTTCTCATGTGAAGAATTAATATATGTTTAGTGTGTAAAAGAAAAAAATTGTATTGTAAACCCTCCCTCATAAACACTTAACATTTTGATATTTATCCTTCCATAAGCTTTGAAGTAAATATTTTTCCTTTTCTTAGGCAGGTGATATTTTGGACATTAGCCGCATCATGGAGATTTTAAATTGTCATTTGTCACACCGACATTGCAGAATCTTAAATACAAATTAGTAGAAGACTTCTAAATGAAAATAACACCTTATTGATTCTGTATAGATTTAAAAATGGACCACCGTGGGAAATAATTAGGCCTTGTTGTACATAAGATACTTGAACTATGGAAAGGGAACACAGAGACAGGTTTTGGATAGGTTTTGAACCTGTGTTCAGGAAAAACATGTATATTTCTCTAGAACATAGATATAAATTAAAAAAAATATATAAAATTTCTTGGCTAAAGGACCTTTGAAGCTCAACCACAGACATCTTTCCAAGAAGTTCTTGTCCCCACAGCTAAGATTCCGTGCTTTATTTAGGAGGGTTGAATGCCTATTTTTAATTAAGTAGATATTAACCTGTGAACATTTTGTGAATGTTTTCCTAGTATGAATTGAAACATCATCCATTATTAGAAGTACCAACTATATAAATTATCTTCTGATAACTGTACATAACATTTAACAAATTTCTATTTACTAATAGTTGCTACTGAGATAAATTCAGATAATTGGTTGATTTTGCAGTTTTATAGGTAAAACTTAGTTTTCAGATTTGTAGTTAGTATCTTAAACATCATTATAGTTAAAATCTCTATACTTAAATAGGGAAAATCAAAGACAGGATAAGGACAGTTACCACATTTTTCAAGGAAGTAATTCGCCCTGCTCCCATCTGATAGGCTTAGTATATAAAACAAATTGAGTCTCTTGCACTTTATCTATACTATTCTCTATTATAATGATTTTTACGATCACAATTCTGTGAATATGTAAACGTGTATTGTCATTTTTATTCTGTAAAAATTAGAAGTTGGTGTATTTATGTAATTTTCCTGAGCAGAATACCTTTTTTTTTTTTTAAATAAAGGTCCATCAACAATTTTCTTTTTTAGAGAGAGAGAGAATTTTTTTAATATTTATTTTTTAGTTTTTCGGCGGATACAACATCTTTGTTTGTATGTGGTGCTGAGGCTCGAACCCGGGCCGCACGCATGCCAGGCGAGCGCGCTACCGCTTGAGCCACATCCCCAGCCCCAGAATACTTTTTTAATTAAAGGATTCAGTTAAGTATGGGTGCTAACCTTATTTTCTATTTTCTGATGTCAGAAAGATATAAGAAATTAAGTAATTTGCTGAAATTTGAATCTAGGTGTCTGTCAATCAGGAGTCTCTTTGTTTTTATGAACAGTGTACTAATTTGTGCCAATGATTTTAATTTTGAAAAATTTTAACAAGTTGGAAAATATTGCAATGAGCATCAAATATTCTTCCTTAAATTCACAATTACTAACATTGGCCACATTTGCATTATTTCTACACATATGCATGTACATACACACTTTTTGTCATTTTTTCTTGTGGATTCGTTTGATAGTTTCAAACTTCATTCATAATAGTGCTTATTAATCTTTATGTACTTGAATTTACATCTCCAAGAACAAAGACATTCTCCTAAGCAACTGCAATATAAGAATCACATGTAAAAAATTTCACTTTGATAAAATACTGGTACCTAATCTACTACATAGTCCATACAAAAAATAGCATTGACTTTAGTTCTCATGTCTTTTTATTCTAAGGAGGTGTCTCTTATAAAACATAATTCATTATTCAGGTTAATTTTTCAAACAGCATTATGCTAACCATGGCATTACCATCGGGGTATTAAAATTTATTAAACGTAAATTCTAGATTCTTTTTTGTTAAATTTTAATTATTTCTAAATTATAATTTATAGTTATAAATATTATTTCTAAATTATAAACTTAGAAATTCTATTTATTTATAGGTTTATGCTTAGTGTTGTGTTTTATAAAAATGTGTTTTCTCATAATTAATAGTATACCATTATTAATTTTTAATCCTTGTGTTTACTTCTATTTTAGTTAATTTTGTATGGTCTATTAGAACATTATACATTTCTACATCTTAAATGTTCCTGAAGTTCATTTTCTGGAAGCAGGAGATAATAAAGTTGAAAACAGCTCTCTCACATGATTTGTTAATATTCTAGGTTGATGGGTAATTGATTTTTCTAGTACTAGCCTTGCTTTAGCTGATAATTATGGATACCTGTTCTTTTCCTTCCTTGAAAGTAATACATCTCCCATTTTATATATCATAATATTTTGCTGTCAACACAAGTTGGTCAAAGTATGCTTTCATAAAGACTTTAATAGGGGGCCAGGGCTGTGGCTTAGCGGTAGAACCCTTGCTTTGCACATGTGGGGCACTGGGTTCAATCCTCAGCACCACATAAAAATGGATAAACAAAATAAAGTTATTGTGTCCATCTACAACTAAAAAAATACATATTTCAAAAAGACTTTAATAGTATTCTTTCATATCTACATTAAATAACACATTTTTGACATGCTGACCATGTATCTACTTAAGAATTACTTAAGAAATTACATAGCACAGCTAGTTGGTTGTAAAAGGTGAGTGGTGTGAATGCTTATCTTGAAGTTTTGATTAAAATTAATTATTTTGATGGGCTTTTTGAGCCATGTTAAATCCTGTGGTTGGCAGGAAATTCTTTTACTAAAAGTGATTTTAATACTGTACCTTTTTTCTCCCTCTTTCAGTTCTATAAACATGTGGTACAGAGTGTTGAGAAATTCATTCAGAAAGTAAGTATAAGCTTTTAATACATAGACTAAATGTAATGTAATTGTATATTAGTGCCTGTACTCTTCTCCTTTAAATGAAATCCTGAGGTTGTTTTGATAGACTATTAAAAGTGATTCTAGTTATTTTATTTTCTAATTAAGAGAGAAAATGAAAGTGCCTTTTGGATAATTCTAAAATGGTAGCTTTCAGGCAGATATTTTTGCTAAATTTACATTGCCTAAGTGAGTATGCGTTCCTTGAAAATAATTACATCAATATGATTGATTTTTTTTTTTAAATAGAATATAAATCTGTTGTTTTACATAGCCTTTAAGGAAGTTCTCTCTTGTAGCTCTCTGTTTATATTAGGTATGGATAAAATATTGTCTTGGATGTTTTTCTTCTGCTGATCACTTTATTTGATCCATTAGGATGTTAAAAATTGCTACATGTTATTATATATACCCGCAGTTCCATTTTCCAGGAGAAGCAGAGGAGATAAAGTTGAAAACATCTGTCTTGCATACATTTAGTAATGTTTTTGTAACCAGAGTCTGAGACAGTTGTAGTTCTTGAGTGCACCTGTTTGTGATCATTACTCTGTTGATGCCAGAGTTTCTGACAGAGGTACTTAAGACTTAATTCCTTATAAGATGATACTACAGGAAATCAGTACTTTCCTGATTTGTGTTTAGGATTATTTTCTGTCTATATTCATGTGTCTAGGTATAAGCAGAGGCAGTTTGAGAATCAGAAGTATATGGCATTAAGGATTTAGCAAGGTTGCAGTGTCACAAAAATAGTTGACTGAGAGAAGAGTGCAGGAATCAGGTGAGATTTGTCTCAGTCAACTAGGTAGCCTTGAGTAACTCAACCTGTATTTGATTCAAGCCTTTTCTCTTTTTTCAAGTGTTATTTTCTCAATACTTAAGGTATTGATTAAATATATATGGGGATTAATTAACTTAAATAATTTGAAGATAAGACGTGAGTAAAATAACATTGCTTTTTTAGGTAAATTAAGCTAAAAAAATGCTACTGATTGAAAGATTTATCAGTCTAAAGCAAGTCTTTAAAGTCTTTTATCTAAAGCAGTGCCTCTTAAGCTTTACTGTGTGTAGGATTTAGTAGGGATCTTGATACAATGGAGGTTCTGTTTCACTGAGTGTATGGCGCAACCTAAGAGTCTTCATTGCTATCAGTTCTATATAATGTCTTTGCTGTTTATACAGAAGTCAGAATTTGAGTGGTATAGAATTTAAAGGATAAATGTGAATTTGTGGAAAATTGTTTGTTGACTGATTTGATTTGGGTTAGAGGTAGTTCTAATAAGATATTTCAGAATCATATGAAGACTTGTAGTGATCAAAGTTATTCCATTGTTAAGTAATTTATTATCCATCAGAAGAAGCAAGTCAATATTTGTTTCCTCTTCTCTGTAATTTTGCATTTCAAGAACAGTTTAAGTGGAATCTTATAGTATGTAGCCTTTTGAGTTAGGCATGTTGTACTCAACATAATTCTTTTGAGATCTAGGGAAGTAACTGCATGTATCAAATAGTTTCTTACCTTTTTATTTCTGGGTAGTGTTTCATTATATGGATGCACCACAGTTTTAACAATTCACTTATTGAAGATCAGCTGGGTTGTTTCCAGCTTTTGACTATTATGTATAAAACTGCTAGGAACATTCATATATAATTTTTGGTGAATTTTTTTCATTTCTCTGGGATGGGAAGTCATGTTTTCATTTTTTAAGAAACTCTCAAAATTGTCTTCTAGGATGGCAGTATCATTTTATATTCCTATCATGTGTTATAATAAAAATAATGCAGGTAAGGGAGAGGCATGCTTCTAGCTTTATATTGTGTTAACTATCATTTCATGTTTTGGTCATGAGAGATTTATAATTGGAGTAATGAATGATGGTGATAAATGAAAAATTAACAATAAAGATGACTTCCTATGAGCTAGAAAAACTGAAAGAATATTCTGGTCTCTGGTCTTTGTCTTAATGAATTTTGCCAAATATCATGGTGTGTTCCGATTTTGTCAAACTTTCATGAGGCAGAAGCAAAGGCCAAAAATACCAAACTCAGACAAATTTTAGAATAGTTATTTGCATTATAAATAACTGAGTTCATTATTCTGAATGATAAAGAAAATATATTTTATTTGGATTTAGAAGACGTACTATTTGCTGACTTTTCTACTATTTGCTACCATTCTATTTGCTAGCTTGATATGCATGAGCTACATGTTCAGCTATGTTCCTAAAATATGTAGACTTTAGCCAACTCCTTTTAAATCTTCCTTTGTACATGAGTACTACAAATGAATTTGTCCACTAAATTCAGAATGAGATTAAATGTCATTACTCAGAACTGTTTCTTTTGTTACAATCTGGATACTATGTTTCAGTCATATACTTAGATGGTATGTGGCTTCTCTTCAATACCACAGGTCAGCAAAACATTTTATCTTTTTAGTTTCTAATAATAGTCCCTATATGAACCACCATTATCATTATTTATAAGTTTTTGACTGTGATTAACCTTCAGATTTCTTACTTCATTGTTAGATCAGTGAGAGTAGGGAATGTGGTTTGATCTTGTAACACACATTTACTTAGTGAATAATATATGAAAATATTGTGTTAAACACGTTAGGCATTACATAATGAAAGATTTTGATCTGGTAGTTTTATGCCCATTATTTGATTCTTTGTAGTGGATATAAATTTTTTTAGATGAAGCCAAAACAGTTTATCATCTTTTGGTATATTTATTTTTCTGCCCAGTGATATTTCCCCAGAGGAAGGGTAGAGTCCACATTGAAAGGTAGTTACATTTATTTAACCTTTTTTGTTTTGTTTCATGTAGGGTGCAGTGTTCTGTAATGGATGGACTTTTATCATGGGTATTGCCTTACCCTTGGGATAGTGCACATAAAGATTTGGGCTTTGGGGCACAAATAGTTTAAAAGGAGCAGACTTCCATATTCTTACTTTGCATATGCGCTTTTTATTAAAATTTCTTTGCCCTGGGGTATTTTAGATAAGTTCTAAGTCTCTCAATCTGTAAGTTGCATTTCAAATATATCTTGACCTGCCCTCCTGGGTCATCACAATATGAGAAACTTGGGCTTGTTGTGTGTGTGTTTTTAAGAAACCACGGATGTTTTATATAATTTGTGTTGTGCAGTACACAAACACACACACACATACACATACACACAGAAGTGCAGAAAAACAACATATATAGCTGGATTTTTACAAAGAGAAAATCTGTGTAATTCCTACTCATTTGAAATCAAACTGTGATTAATGTGCCTACCACCCTAAGTGCCTCTTCTTGATCACATCCTCTACCCAAGTAACCATAGTCAGACTCTTATGTTAGTCACATCTTTGCTTGGTGTTATAGTTTTATTTAAAATAAGTGCAATTTTTTTTCAGTTTTTGTGATCAAACCCTCATATATAAGATCTTATGTATTTAATACTGTGTGTTACCCCTGTGTACGTGAGAAAAAAATTGTTTTACTTTTTCTAGACCAGTGTGGCTATTAATTTCTCTACCATACCTACCCTACATGGTGAACTGGGAAACTGTCCAAAGTTGATATCAGAACTTAAGTTTCTAAAAATCCAAATTCATACATGTGCACATGTCATGTGCACACACAACTTAGGTTAGGTTCTTCAGTTATCTGGACAAAATCATAGAGACATTCAGCCCACTCCATTAATAAAAAGACCCCAAATCACCACCACCCCTGCCCTGAAAATAGAGTTTCCTTACTGTTGTACCTGGAACCAGTTTTTAAAGTTTCTCAGTTGTCATCAGGAATCTAGAATATTATCATTAAAAATAGCTCTGATAAAGCATGGTTGCTACTTCATATCTTAATGCAAATTCAAGATATTTTATATTCATAGACTTGTGATATAATACTGTCTTAAGTGTAACTATGAATTCTTAAAAGTGATTTAATGTAGTTTTTAATTTCACATAATGGAATTCTTTGTTCATTATATGTTTAGGATTTTTGCATGTTTTGTATAGTAAGATTTTTGGGGGGATGGGGTACTGGGGAACTCAGGGACACTCAACCACTGAGTCACGTTCCCAGACCTGTTTTGTATTTTATTTAGAGACAGGGTCTCACTGAGTTGTTATTGAATTTGCAGTCCTCCTGCCTCAGCCTCCCAAGTTGCTGGGATTACAGGCGTGTGCCACCATGCCTGGCTATTTAGCAATATTAGTTACTGCTCATTGTTGTATATATTACATTTTACAAATAAGCTTTAGCTTGCCCATTCTACTGTTTACAGACACGGGAGGCGGTATGTGTGTGGGTGTGACTTTTCTACTTTTTGATATTCTGAAAATACTGCTGGGAATATTCTTATATATGCATTTTAGTGCATGTTATATTTGTGTAGGAGTGGAATTGCTGTGCTATAGGATATGCATTTCTTCTACTTTGCTATATAATGCTTAATTAGTTTCATAATGGTTATACTAATTTACACTCCCACTAGCAATCTGTGAGATTGTGTGTGTGTGTGTGTGTGTGTGTGTGTGTGTGTCCCCGTCTTTGACAATTCTTGGTATTATTATACTTAAATTTTCTAATCTAGTGAGGTTATTTTCAAAGGACATTAATAAATTACCTTCACAAAAGGAATTAAATTTCAGTCAGCTTTAAAACTGTTTTTTAACTGTGGTGGTGCATGCCTGTAATCCTAGCAACTGAGGGAGGCTAACAAAGGGGGACCATAAATTGGAGGTCAGCTTCAGTAACTTAGGGAGGTCCTGCCTTAAAATAAATAAATAAACAAACAAACAAACAAATAAATAGGGCTGGAGATATAGCTCATTAGTAGAATGCTCCTGGGAAACAACAACAAAACTTGTTTTTAGACTCCTAAGGACTCATCAGAATGAATTCCTATGACTAAAGAGTAAAACATACCCTAGTATGTTTAAAATGTTAGGTTGTTTTCTGATTACTAT